AGCAGCTGCTGCCCCAAGCTCTCTCTGTCTCTCTCTGTCCGTGTCTCCTCCCTGCTCTATATGGGGAAGGGATAAGCGGGGTGCAGGAGCAGGGTGGAGGGGGACATGCTAACATTAGTCCCCCTTTCCCCCGCCCTGCACAGCAAGCAGGAGTCTCTAGGAGCAGCTCCAAGGCAGAGGGCAGGAGCAGCACATGGCAGTGGGGGGAGGGACAGCTGAACTGCCGATTGCTAGCCTGCTGGGCGGCTGCAGCACAGGGAACTTAGGGGAGCAGGGAGCTGATGGGGGGCCGTCGGTCCACCTTGGTTCCAAGCCCCCACCAGCTAGCTGCAATGGGCTGCTCTTCCCGTAAGCAGTGGACAAAGCAGGCGGCTGCCAAACGACGTTAGAAGGGAGCACTGCACAACTTTAAATGAGCATGTTCTCTAATTGATCAGCAACATAACGACGAAACAACATTAACCGGGACGACTTTAAGTGAGGAGTTACTGTAACTGTCCTCTGAAAAGAAACGAGCGGGTTAATAAAATGTAAAAGTAAAAACAACAGCTGTCCTTTCATGAAGTGATCCTTTCTCCTTAGCTCCCTCAGTAACACAGAGATACAGTTTTCCTTAGAGTAGAGGAAGCAAGGCTCTTCCCAGTCAGAATCCATGAAATGTCCTTAGTTTTCCAGTCAAATGGCACACAATTCTAATGAAATCGGTACACGATTTCTCTAAGGTGCCACAAGGACTCCTCATTGTTTTTGCTACCACTCTGAAACCTATGCCGAGGAGGAGACTTTAAAAATGATTATGTTTTATTTCTGTGGAAACTTTCCGGTTTGGATCACTGGGCGGGAGAACCTGCCAATACTTTCAGAACGCCCATGAACTAAAGGAGATAGCGGTCTTGTGCACCTCAGAGCTACTCCAAATTGGCATTGGATACTTGATGACAAAAATGCTGGAAGTTTCTAAATGCGGTTGCTGTTGCATACAGTAAGCCACTCCTAGGCAGTTCTCTTGCTCAGTATAAGACAATTAAAAGGGCTGGATGCTTTGATGATCATTAACAGTATTTGCAATTATACCTGTTCAGATTGGGTAATAAACCCCTGCTCCAGTGTGCAAACTGATCACCTGCAGGTACCAAGGAGCAGTTTTGTCCAAGTGCATTATGAGAAGGGGTGAGGTGGGACACTTGCCTTTCTCTGCAACCTAAGGGATTGACCACTGCTGGAAGCAGGAGACAAGCCTTGATAACTAACGGTCTGGTTTGGCAAATATCCTGATCCTAAAAGAGCAGCCTTGCAGGAACGAGCTCGCACTGTATCTGATTGGTGCTCTGCAGCGGCATAACACTCGTTGACA